CTGAGCACCCACGCTCCCACCGCTGGCAGGGCACCCTGCGATGCCAGAGGGGGGACACTACGGAGCATCAAAAGCCATAGGAGATGCATGTGCTTGGTGACATCCTGCAAACCGCTGCCCCACAAGGTATGTCCCCACTAGCAGGGGACACCAAGTCACAGAGCTTTTCATGTGACTTCTACAGTAAAACAACTTCCCCGAATATTTTGCGAAAAAATGTAGAGCCTTGTGTGAACTGCCTTCATATCCCAGAATGGTTTGGGTTGGAAGGAATCTTAAAGCCCATCCAGTTCCACCCCTCGCCATGGGCAGGGACGCCTCCCACTAGACCGGGTTGCTCAGATCCCCATCCAACCTGGCCTTGAGACAGTACCAGAGAGGGACAATGCCAAAGCAGTCACACTTCAGAACAAGGCTCTTCTCTAAGCAGCTTGCTCATTTCAGACCAACAATAACCATTTGGTAGGTTAAACGTGTCAACCTGTCTTCACTCAAATGCAGTTCCCCCCTTTTCATGGACATCAGAAGCTGTTGGCTGTGGAAATACCACCTCCTCCTCCTTCCATGTATCTATCACCTTTTCTGAAGTTGGAAAGATTAATTAGGATCGCTGGGCTGCCAAGTCCCCACTGTCAATAAATGCATTTCTGGGTTGTGTTTCTCCTCCACCACAAGACAAACAGAAGTGTGCTGCAGTAGCTCAGAACTTCTATGAAATTCTCCCTATTCCTACCAAGCCTAGTGAGAAGGTCCTCTGCAGTCCGAGCAGCCTGTCCCAACTCACTGCCTCTTGCACTAAGCTTCCTTCATACTCTCCCACCAGGTTCATCATGGTTGATCCCACCTCACTTCTGAGCACAGACAGAAATTCTCAATCATTCTCTCCAAGTCAGACAAAAATTAGGACAGTAGATGTGTTTAGAAAACCTGGTAAGAGCATTCTCGTTCCAGGTCACGATTGCATTAAACACGACGAGCTGCCTGGTTTTCACATGGTTTTCTGCGTGACTCCCATCTGACCCAGCTCCTCACAAGGAAGAATCATCAAGAATCTTTTCTCTTCCCAGGGGAGAAATCCACTTGACGTGTCACATCCTACTACGTTTAAGTGGTTTTCAATAGCTGGGACTTCCCGGGGGAGGCCTTGGCTCCAGCCCTGCAGAGAGGAAGAGCTTCCTCTGCCCAGGAGAACTAACCCACCACAAATAACCACTCCTGCCCCAGGTCTGTCGGAACATGGAAAATTATCCACGTCTCCCTGATATCACCCAGTGAGAGCACAGGCATTTTATAAGCATAAACCAACCACCAAACATTCAGGGCCATTCATATGCAAGAGATGATATTCACCCCAGAATGACTGAAAAGGGTGAGGTATAAAAAGGCAGTAATTAACGAAGGGTTCCTTCAAGGAGCCTAAATTGGGTGCAAACACCCACAAAAGAACAAGAGGCCCAGCAGTTCAAAGGATATCTGTACCATCGCTTTCAAGGCTCAGCCTCTGGGATATTTTACCAGCTCCTTAACTTGAGAGATGATGAAAGAAAGAAATTAAAAAAGAAAATAAAACGGGGAGGGAAAAAAACCCATGTGCTATCTTAGCACTTCACTTTTATTTCTGAAATATTCACGTTTCTTCCCATGTTCTGCAAAGTGCTTTGAGAGGCTCCTCTCTGTGCTTAATGAAAGAGGTAAACAAAGAAATACTTAAAAAAAAGACTATGTAAGTGCTTCAATGTGTGTAGAAGCAGAAGCTGCCCAGCACAGACGTGCAGAGGGAAGGAAAAGCAAGGGCTCTCCATAAATGTTTAGAGGTTTGTAATCCTACAGCTTTACTCAAATGAACGAGGGGGGATTTCCCATCTGAATTCTCGAGTGTTTCATGAAGACACTGCTGAGGAACCCAACCTCTACACAACGCAACGATGAGAACACCATTCCCTGGAGAGGCCACGGGTACCATCAACAGGCATCGGCACGTCGGATGTGTCTGTGCTTAATTCTAGGAGAATACAGTAAATGCTCCACTGCATTGCGATCATTGCTAAAACACTGATCTTAAGATGGTTTTTTTGACTTAGAACTCCTACGCTCAGTCTGTCCCACTGGTTGAAAAATGTCCAACAAATTCCCAAACGTTCTAAAATCCCGCAGGAATACCAGATGTCCTGTCAGATGGAAAGCTTCCTCCATAGAGCTGGACTTGGACACTTTCACAGCAATAGTATCTTAGGATACTACTCCTAAAGACTTGGACAGCAATAGCATCTTATAAAGTATCTTATATGGTACCTTATAAAACTGACTTCTTATAGAGAGAATACAAAGCAGCATGTCCTGTTTCACTGTGGAGAAAGGCTACCCCACAACACTTCCCAATTTTTATAACAACTTCACTAACAACAACAATTTTAAGTACTTTTTAATCTTAACATCTAGGTCATTGAGTCCTCTGTAGTCTGTTACTGAAAGACTGGATTCTTGTCGGTTAAATAAGCAGCTGAATTTGCCCTCGGCCCGGGCTCCGCTCTGGGGTGGGGAGCAGGAGCAGAGAAGATGAAGAAAGATTTTCAAGCATCTCTATGTAGCAGAAGACTCAACCACCACAAACTGTTTCACGGTGGCGTAATAGCCAGATCTATTTCCTGAACTCAAATGCATGTATAGACCTTAAACTGTCAAGAGTAAGAGAGATTTCCTGTGAAAATGAGTTTATTTAGTTAGACGAGCCGCAATGCTAAGCCATCACATGGGTCAAACCTTTCCTCAGGCTCCACGGGCTTTAACCCGGGTCACTCTTGGATCTTAAAAAGCATCTTGAAGGCATAAGGATAAAGACAATCACAGAATCATGGAATGGTTTGGGTGGGAAGGGACCTTAAAGCCCCCCCAGTGCCACCCCCTGCCCTGGGCAGGGACACCTCCCACCAGCCCAGGTTGCTCCAAGCCCCCTCCAACCTGCCCTTGAACCCCTCCAGGGATGGGGCAGCCACAGCTTCTCTGGGCAACCTGTTCCAATATCACTTACCCCTTTGTTGTGCCTAATCTGAGCCAAGGTGGAACTACCAAACAGCGGAGCAGACGGGACTACAATTTACTTGATAGAACAAGGATCATAGGAGAATAAAGATAAGGCTTTACCCAATCGGGAGCACTCAGTAAATGGGCTCAGTCAGTGATAATGAGAGGTGGCCAAAAGCAAAGCAATCACTCCAGTTGAAAAATAACCAGGGGGAGAAATTTGCCAGCCTCCATCTAACTTCTGTTCTTTGGAAAACCACGAAAGAAGGGAAAGACTTCAGTTTTCACAACGCACAGGCAAGTGGAGATCTCTAGACACACCTGACAATTAAAGACCTCACCTCTAGAAAAAGCTCATTTACACATTTTAAGAAACCCTTCAAGATACCAAGAGTAGCTGCAATTTTGTCAGAAGCCACAGCATTTTGACAGAAGTGCACCCACCTCTCTGGTTCTCGGTTCCACCCGCCCAGACGGTGAAATACAGATTACACACCCTACATCTCTTCCAGACAAATGCTAAACCAACAACCCCCAGCATTATACAAACAGATCCCCTCTGCCAAAGGATGGAATAAAGCCATCTATAAGAAACAAGCCTTTTTGGTCCGAACTTCCTGATAAACAAGAAATCAGGTATAGACACATGGTTTTGACACTAAAAAGTTTGGTGCAAGTTAAAAAAAAGTGGCTGCTGCCTTTAAGCGCTCCCTCCAACCAAACAAGAGAAGGTGGGAAAATGCTGAAGACATCAAGACCCTGAAAGGACTGACCAAATCCCTAACAACATTTAAGGATTCCGAGGTGGGACTCATCACTTGGGTGTTTATTGTCTCACTAATCTTCATACATTATGAACGGCAATTTATAAATCCCTGGATAGCTTGCCTCAGCCATCCATGCTCCTGCTGACCTTCCCTTTGGAGCAGCTGCCTGACGTTTGCAAAGGATTCCATGGATTCAAAACACACACAAATAAAGTCTGTGAGCACATCTGAAGATCGTAGAGGACAGAGATGCTGAATCCCCTGAAACAGACCCAGAAGGTCCATCGCCAAGGACACACACCGAATAATGTAAGTCCACGAGGACTGGCAACGAGGGACTGCTTGATCCCTCTCTGGTTAATATCTGCATCTCCTTCTCGTTCTGTGCATTCTATGTGGTGGTTCTTGTACTCCAAGAACATGTGGACACAAAGTACAGAAAGGAATTTGAGAAGCTGAGAGATGTTATAGAAAAGGCAGAGCACGGAAGGGGAAGGGAGCTGCTCTCTCATCCCCAGCCCATGGTGTCAAAACCCTCAGCACTCACTATGTGACACACTGGCTTGGAAGCATTTGTTTAATATTGAAAGGGGGGGAAAACGTACAAACAAATGGATTAAACCACAGAACAATTACTCTCAGATGGGCCAAGCAGGTTTTCTTCAAGATGGAGGGGAATCCTTAGATAAGTCAAAATACATCCAATCAAGGCAACTGCCTTCAAACAGCATTAATTGCAACCATAGGAGGAGGAAAACAGTCACTGGCACAATTTAGCTATTTCTCAGGAAGAAACAGGACCCAAACTTTAAGCCGAAGTCGTATGGACAGGCAGGCCTTAATAACAAGTCAGAACATTAAAGTCACACTAGGATTTCTATTAAATCTCACGTCCCACAATATCTTACCAACTTCCTTGGAGCTCAGACTTGTTTTCACTTAAATCAGCACAAACTTTGCCTTTGGTTTAAGGAAGGAAAAAACAAGCATTTTGCAACATTTCTTGATGAGAACCCTTTGTGGCCGAGTTCTGCTCTGCCAGGTGAAAGCAGAGGTGATGCTCTTTGCAGAGAAGCTGCATGTGTGACTGATGGAATAAACATTTAAACGTTTCCTTTTCAAACAGCTCAGACAAAACTGTCTCTTTCAAAAGCTCCTGTAGGCTGAGTTACCTGGAACAGATTTGCCAACACCCAACCCTGGGTACGGTACCTTCTCTGTGGACATCAGGGAGCAGGTCGGTGGGATGCTGCACAGCAGCTGAGCGCCTGTACACCATGTGGATCCTTCCCTTCTCCTCCTCCATCTGCTTTCCTCTCTCCAAAGGCTCGATGAAGTACTCATCCTTATTGGTTCTTATCATTCCAGCCTGGTGAGGGAGAGAGAAAGCATGTCCAAGTGTCATTCCAAGGGCTCAGGCCCCTCATTTTACTTCATTGAAATCAGCAGAAGCCACATGGTTTTTCCACTTAACACATTCTGTTCCATCTGTAACTACGTAGATATGGACAATCCTTCAAACCCCTTTCTCGTTATGTCCTCCCCCTGTAAAAGCCTCGGGGCAGGTTCCTGAAGGCAGGTTTACCCTGGTCATTATCACAATTAAACTCGCTGGAGTTTTAATGGAGACATCACACCTGCCTTAAATCCCATTTAAGGTAAGAGAGATTCATGCTCCAGGAGGAAGAATTTCTCTGCCGGCACCCGAATATAAACCACAGTCAATAACATCCCCACTGGAGATTTCTGTACACGTGAGGCAGGGGTTACAGCTCTGACTTTGACACCAACCATAGACACAGACAAAGCATGAACCACAAAAAAAAAAACCCCAAACCAAACCCAAAATGAGACAAACCTGAGAGTTTTGCAAACTCCTCCAGGGCCTTCCCAGCACCGCCCCAGCTTTGGGTGCCACCAAACTCATTTATGGCAATGATACATTCATTTGTTTCTTGAATATTTTTTTTTTAATTTTTTTTTTTGCAACAACTGGAGATTATCACAGCCCAAGCTTAGATAATTTGCCAGATACAAGGAGACAGAACTGTGAAGGTGTATCACGGAGTATCAACAACTAATATTTTAATAAAACGTTCAAAATGTCACAGGCCACACTTCACCACAAGCTTTCCACACACTCTGTGTGTTTTCTTACATCTACACTGAATTCAGCCAATAAAACGTTCAAAATGTCACAAGCCACACTTCACCACAAGCCTTCCTCACACTCTGTGTTTTCTTACATCTACACTGAATTCAGCTACTGAATTTCTTCAAATATTGGCTAAATTATATAAATCTAAACACTACACCCTTCCTTTGCTTTCATTCTGTGAGTGGCAGCAATGAGTGAGATTTTTGGCTGGAATAACTCAGGTGAGCACCACGAGTCAGTTTTTCCCGTGGCCAATACACATCATTATTCTGGGAACCAACAAGTCCCCTTTGCATGTTAATAGATTATTTGCTTGCCATTTTTCTCAGCAAAAAGAAGTTCCGTCCCTACAGTTGGTGTGTTATAGGTGTAGAACCTGTCTTGGCATGAAGATTTTTTGCTAAATAACCTGTTGGCAGTGGGTCTACCCAAAAGCAAAGCTCAGCTTCCCTTCCCAGCTCCAGCCCGTACATCTGCGTCCACCCTAGACACAAAAAAAGTCAAAAAGCCTCATCAAAAGCCTCCTCATTTCACAGAGGCTGATAACCCGGCCCAATTAATACGAGAAAGAAACATATTTTAAAAGTCTAATTACTCATTAAGAGGAGCAGCACCTCCGACCTTTCCTTAGTCTTCACGGTGGCGACTATCTCCACCGATTTCAGAGGATTTGGAGGGGATTTGTGCCCATCACCAAAAACAAACCTAACAATTGCTCTCCAGAATTTGCAAATGATGCTCAAGGGCTGGATTTCCAACCGGTCCTTACGGAGAGGGGCTTCCCAGAGAGCAACAAACCCCTCCCGCAGACCTGGGGGAAGCTGAATATGTTCCACATGCTTTGGAGTAATTAATTTGCCCCCACGTTTGAGATACTGCAGGAAAGAGTACAAGTATTGACATGCTCTGTCTGGCACTAACACCTAAGAGTTAAAATCACTATAGTGGGGTTATCCTACACAGGGTGTTGTAAATGACTTCCATCAACAGTTCTATAAATACTGATTTTCTTATTAGAAAATGAGATTTAGAACCAACAGGGACAGTTCTGACCCATTTTGACAGCCTCCAGGGCAAGCACGAATGCAGAATCCAGCTTGCTTTCCCTTCAGAATTCCCTCTCCCCCCAAAAAAATTCATCAATAAGAAGAGCCTGAAATTTTCCAAATGAATGGAGAAAGAGGGGCATCAGCGGGTATCACAAGCAGGTGTCTCGAGCGCAGATTTTTGAAGGCTGACTTGGAGAAAAGACTGCGGTGGATTTTCAAGAAAGAAGTATGTAGTGGAAAATAATTTTTTTTTTTTTTTTTTCCGCAAAAGCACATTTATGGAGCAACACAGGAAAGCAGAGTCTGAAATCTTGGAATGCTATTAATTTTACTGCTTTTTCTTCTAAATTAACAGCACTCCAAACTTTCCATCAAGTGCAGGACGCAGTCTGAAACGGTGAAGTTTATCTAGAACTGTCCTCGTTATCCTTCAAATGGGACAACAACGGGGATGTGACAAAAACTAGAAAAAACACCCCAAAAGAAGCTTTTGTGGCAGAGTGGCTCGAAATAAACTCTGTTATCAGCCCCATTTCGACCGGGGGGGAAGCGGATTCACTTTTTGGCTTTTTTAGAGACTCATTTATCCTGTTTTTGAGGGGTGCTGTGGGGGGAACCCACCCGCTCATCACCTCGTGTGCCCCCCCTGCCGCTGCCCATCAGAATGGTTTGGGTTGGAAGGGACCTTACAGACCATCGAGTTCCAACCCCCCTGCCCTGGGCAGGGACACCTCCCACCACACCAGGTTGCTCCAAGCCCCATCCAGCCTGGCCTTGAACCCCTCCAGGGATGGGGCAGCCACAACTTCCCTGGGCAACCTGGGCCAGGCTCTCACCACCCTCATAGTAAAAAATGTCTGTAAGTGTCTTTACATGACTGGCCACCATTAATGCATTTCATCCCTCCAGCTCTTGTCCTCCTCGGTGTAGAAGTAACGGTGGGTGGCAAAGGGAGGGAAAGCCCTTCCGCTGAATTGAACCCATGCAGGACCAGTACTGCCCGAGCTCCCAATAAAAGGTAGCCGGGAGCAGGGTCAGAAGTGGCCTGGCAGGGGCAGCCCACCTAGGAGGGCTTCCAAGAGGACACCAAACCACGCGCTCTTTCCTGGACAATCCACTGATAAAGCAAAACCTGGAAAAATCACAAAATCACAGAATCACATGGGGTTGGAAGGGACCTCTGGAGACCATCTCCTCCAACCTCCTGCCAGAGCAGGGTCACCCACAGCAGGTCCTACAAGAATGTGTCCAGGTGGGTTTGGAATGTCTCCAGAGATGGAGACTCCACCACCTCTCTGGGTGGCACCACTGAAAAAAGCCTGGCCCCATCCTCTTGACACCCACCCTTTAAGTATTTATAGGTGTTGATCAGATCCCCCCTCAGCCTCCTCCCTTAGGAGAGGCTGAGGGACTTGGGTCTTTTTAGTCTGGAGAAGAGAAGGCTGATATGCCTCCGGAGATAGTAATAATGCACTAAAATGCATTATTTCATTTTTTTTCCAAATGCAAAACGACTCAGACAACAATCAGGGAATTACAAACACAAAGACCTGAGAGAACAGCCGACAAGGGCAGGTTAAACCAAGGAATCACTGGCTGAGCCAAAACCAACAGCGTTGAAGGGGGAACACGGTTCTGTATAAATATGCATGTGGCAGGAGCTGGGGAGAGGAGAGAAGCCTTCATTCAGCAGCACAACGGAGAACTGTGGAGCGCCCATTAAGAATGGCCGCATTTAACGGCAATTGCAGCGTAAACACCAGGGGTGGGATTTTCAAAAGTATTTTAGGAAGTTAAATGCCCCATTTCTCGTGGTTTGCCGTAAGGGCAAGTCGTTTTAACTCTCAGGTGTGTTTTGAAAAGCCCACCCTCGAATGTGGGAGAGTGAGGGGGTTTGTTTAGTCACACTGCTGGCCATTATCGAGCCAAGTGCCACCAGCTCTTGCCACCGGGCGTTACTGGGGAGTAGGAAACGCTTTGAGCTGTCAGTCTACACTGCACTTATTTTACAAAATCAACCTATGATAGAATATCCCATCCTACCTGTGATCTCATGTACCAGGAAAGAAGGTCAGGAAACGCTCTCATCTTATCATAGAATCATAGAATGGTTTGGGTTGGAAGGGACCTCAAAGATCATCGAGTTCCAACCCCTGTGCCATGGGCTGGGACACCTCCCACCAGAGCAGGTTGCTCAAAGCCCCATCCAGCCTGGCCTTGAACCCCTCTAGGGATGGGGCATCTTTTGACGCCAGTATCCACTGCCCACCTCTGCCCCAAGTTCTGGGTTTTTTTGCCTTCTTACTGTCCTCTGGTAGACTGGACATGGTGAAAACTTCTTGTTCTCATGCATCTCCCTCTACAAAAACCTCATTTGCCCAACTGCTTATGAAACAAGCTTGACTAAAGTTCTCTTTCTAAAGTGCTGAGACCTCTATCTGCTGTACTCATCAATCACGTCCTACTCTTTCCACCTCCTGTCTCTTGTGGAACGCCACCAGCTCTAGGCAGCAGAAGGTGTCCTTGTGGCCCATGCCTGCATGGCTCCAAGCAGACTTGATCATAGAATCACAGAATGGTTTGGGTGGGAAGGGACCTTAAAGCCCACCCAGTGCCACCCCCTGCCCTGGGCAGGGACACCTCCCACCACAGCAGGTTGCTCCAAGCCCCCTCTGGCCTGGCCTTGAACCTCTCCAGGGATGGGGCAGCCACAGCTTCTCTGGGCAACCTCTCTGATCCACCAGTGCTTACGGGAGCAAGGAGACCCAAACGATGCTTCTTACCCACAACTTCATCAGAAAACATCACTATTAATAATTTCCACCAAGCAGTGGTCAGAGACAGCCCACTCGTGGAGGGCATAAACCAGCAAGATTTTGGTTTCAATCACAAAGTCACAAAGCTAGGGTGGGGTGAAGCACAGGGAGTGGTGGGAGAAGCCATCAGGCTTCCCAGACCAGAAGGGTCCAGGCTTCATTTCCCAACACTGTTGAAAGGTTCGGGTGGTCCCACAGAGCCCTTCCATGCCCCCATGGAGGGTGACACCACCACCAGGATCACACCTACTCTCACCCATAGGGGTTTCTGTGCTGCCCTTTCTCATATCACTAAAAACATATACATTTAAGTAGAAATGACACTGAATTATAGGTAAATACCTAC